TGTTACCACCAGAGGCTTTGTAAAAAAAACAACAAGCCATTGTGAGAGAGGAAGCTAAAGAAATCTTGCAACAAGCACAACGAGTGACAGATGAGGAGCCAACTGCATTCAGGATGTTTAATGGGCATAACATTGATGCAGTAAATCCTATAATCTCGTGGGTCGAAATGGATGATTCTGAAGCTGAACAAATAGCACGCATGATCCTTTCCATAGCAGATTGCGGCTATGCTGAACCAGAAGAGAACCTGAAGGAAGTAGCATCCCAGTCAAACACTGGCAGCCCAGAATATCAGGTTATTAATGAAGTAGAATCTTGGGAAAAATTAGTACCAGATTATCTACACTCGTTCGGTGATGTCTTCTCCAAAAAAGCATCTGAAAGGATGCCAACTCGAAAGCCATATGATCACGCAATCAAGTTTGAAGAAGAGCATGAATTGCCACGACCGAGCAAGCTATATCCTATGAATCCTGAGAAAAGGAATTCTCTAGATTCATGAATCGACGAAAATCTAGCAAAAGGCTACATTTGTAAATCAAAATCACCTATAGCAGCCCCTGTATTCTTTGTAAAAAAGAAAGATGGCACGTTAAGACTGATACAAGATTACCAAAAACTTAATGCCATAATCAAGAAGAATCGCTTCCCTATTTCACGAATAAGCGAGCTCATCGATCAGCTCAGCAATGCGTCAATATTCACTAAGCTGGATCTCTGTTGGGGATACAACAATGTTCGCATCTGCAAAGGTGATGAATGAAAAACAGCTTTCGTGACACATCACAGTTTATATGAGGCGATGGTTATGTTTTTTGGTTTCTGCAATGCACCAGCCACCTTCCAACACATGATGAATGAGATATTGGATGATCTTATTCAGGAAGGCCATGTGATCGTCTACCTCGATGACATCTTAATCTTCACCAACGATCTGAAACAACATCGAAAGATTACAAAGGAGGTACTTGAAAGATTACGGGACAATGACTTTTTCACCAAGCCAGAAAAGTGCTTCTTCGAACAATCATCGATTGAGTACTTAGGGATGCTTATCTCTAAAGGCAAGGTCCGTATGGACCCTCAAAAGGTCACAGGTGTACTTGACTGGCCCAAACCCAGAAAAGTTAAGCAAGTACAAGCTTTTCTTGGGTTCGCTAATTTCTATCATCGGTTCATTGAAGGATTTGCCAAGAAGTCTCGACCACTCAATATCCTTACTCGAAAGAATCAGAATTGGGTATGGGGCGAGGAACAACAACAGGCATTTAATGCACTCAAGCATGCCTTTACATCCACTCCAATTCTGGCATTACCAGATGATACTCATCCATTCCGGTTGGAAATGGACTCCAGCAATTTTGTCACTGGCACATGCCTCGAACAACTCAAAGATGATGGGTTGTGGCATCCAATCGCATTCTATTCGAAAAGCCTCAATGAGGCTGAGCGGAACTATGAAATCTATGACCAAGAGATGCTCGCAATCATTTAAGCATTGAAAGAATACCGACAACATCTCGAAGGTCATCTGCTCCTGGTAGAAATTTAGTCCGATCACCAGAACTTAACCTATTTCAAATCAGCACAAAAGCTGACAAGATGGCAAGCTCGATGGTCGCTTTATCTTACATGGTTCAACATCCAACTACACCACAAACCAGGAAAATCAATGCATCACGTGGATCCTCTGTCCAGGAGGCCAGACCATAAAGAGGGGGGTAAATCTCAATAATTCTGACAAAACTCTACTCAAGCCAGAATATTTCACGATTAAAGCCATTCAACATACCCATCTCACAGTCGTCACAGATCATGATTTGGTGGACAAGATCAAAAAGGCATTACAAGACGACAATGTGAACAAATCTTATCAAGACCTACTCAAGAAAGGACAATGGGAGTTCTCGAAAGGACTTGAAGACTGGAACTTTGAAAGTGGGATATTACTATACTGAGGCAAAATCTATGTGCCACAAGCAGAGGCAAAGTCTATGTGCCAAAAGCAGATAACAAGGAATCACTCAGACAAGAAATCATCCAGTGTCATCATGAAGCTACCAGTGCAGGTCATCCTGGAAGATGGAAGACATATGAGATGCTATCTCACAATTACTGGTGGCCAGGGATGTCCACTTATGTCAAAAGATATGTTGGTTCTTGTGACATTTGTCAATGCAACAAGAACATCAATCAGCTAAAATACGGAGAACTACAGCCAAATGAGGTTCCAACAGAACCTTGGAAAATTATCTCTGTCGACTTGATTACTCAATTACCAGAATCTCACAGATTCAATGCAATTATGGTAGTTGTCAATCGTTTGACCAAAAGAGCGCACTTCTTTGCAATCACCAATGAGTTTTCTTCATCAAATCTGGCCCGTATCTTCTATAAAAGGGTATGGACACAGCATGGTCTCCCGAAACAGATTATTTCGGATAGAGGAACTCAGTTTGCAAGCACATTATTTCAGGAAGTATGCAAACTTCTCAGAATAAAATCTGCAATGTCTTCGGCATACCATCCGGAGACCGACGGCCAGACTGAAAGAACAAATCAGTTGCTAGAGCAATATCTTCATATTTATACTGATAAGTGCATGGAAGATTGGAGTACACTACTACCAACTGCCGAATTTGCCTACAATAATCAGGCTTCAGAAGCCACTAAGAATTCACCATTCTTTGTCGAATATGGCAGACATCCACGTGCAGAACCAACTATAATGGACCCCATAAAGCATAATATGCTAGATTCTATCATGCAGGCATGAGTAGAAGTGCAAGAGCAAGCGAAAGCAGCCATTCTATTGGCAGTTGAATGCATGAAGTGGTACTACGATCAATCCATACAACCCACATTTTTCAAAGTTGGAGATCAAGTACTACTCTCCACTAAAGATTGGCAGACATCAGGAGCCAAACTGGCACAACGGAGAGATGGACCCTTCAAAATCGTAGAAAAACTAGGACCAATCACATATAGACTAAAAATACTGTGACAATACGGTGTTCATCCAGTTTTTCATGCATCCAAGCTCACGCTCTACCACAAAGCTGAAATACCTGACTGCACACTCAGACCCCACCCTTCTATAAAGAAGCGAACTGGTGAAGAATGGGAAGTCGAATACATAGTCGACTCTCATGTCATTTGTGACAAACTTCAATATTTGGTGCATTGGAAAGGCTATTTCAAGGCTGAAGAGACTTGGGAACCAGCTGCAAATTTGAAGAAATCTTCACGTCTTATCAAGGAATTTCACAAAAAGTATCCGGACACACCCCAAACAATATCTCTAATCGATACAACTCCGATTGATGGCATTTTTCCATCACGGAGAACAGGTCAAATTTACGACCCCACCACTGACACTATTCAGATATGTGACCAAGATAGAGATGATTGAGATCATTCTAGAGATCTTCAAATTACATTAGACAATTCCAATGCATATGTGCCAAAATACACACATGAAGGCGATGCTGGAATGGATCTCGCCGCATCAGAACCAACCACCATCCAAGCACATTCATGAGGATTGGTCTTCACAGGACTTCATTATATGACACCTCGAGGAACCTAGGGTCAAATTGCACCACAAAGTGGTTTAGCTGTAAAAGGCATCGATGTAGGCACTGGTGTAATTGACAGAGGATACACAGGTGAAATCAAGATTTTGCTAATCAACAATACCGATGATGACTTCACAGTCAATTTGGATGATCGTATCACTCAACTTATCATCGAACATATTATTACTCCTGTCATTTCACTAGTCAATTACCTCAAATCATCAGCTCGAGGACACCGTAGATTTGGTTCAACCAGTGATAATTATTTCCAGAAACCACGACAAAAACCAGATTCAGGATGAACTGTCTAGAAGAGGGAGTACTGTCACAGATTTTCACGCTTTCACTTTGCATGTGACCAAGACATCACATGACACCAGTGCTAGGCTGTCCAGAAAGGAACAAACTTGTACACGAAGTACTGACAGTCCTAGGTGCCCCGGAGGTCAAGATCTAGTCACATGACATATTACGTGATATTCACACATGCGACAAGTGGTGCAGATATTAGGTAAGCTTAACTTATACAGTAATATCATCCCACCTAGAAGCAATGGTCGAACTTCAGAAGAATCCTACAAGGCATACACACACCACTGGAGATAGGTCTATAAGGAGATAGTGGTTCACACACTAGAATAGATAGATGCCATGCCACCGGCAATGTAGCCATTACAGGCAATACCATTCCCATGGTCTTACTAAGTAGTTCAGATATTTGACATATGACATATGTAGTCTGACAGGCAGTGGTAGCCAATCAGACAGCATCTATTAGCTAGCAGTTCTGGGGTACTAGGGAACCAGGGGTCCCTCTGCTCATATATATAAACTAGAGCTCTGAGATGCATAAGTCCTCCAAACTTATTCTCATCTCTGCTATGCCTATACACACAGTGTTACCAGTGCCCACTTGCAAGGCACTGCTTTACCTTGATGATCTTTGTGCCCATCCACACTTCGACAAACTAGTAGTAAGTGTTTGATCATAAGATCATAGGCTTAGTCGGTGCTCTGCGTCCTAAGTTTGTGATAGCTTTTAGTTATGTGACTGAAGTCTCCCTTGGTCTAAGCTTGCTGACCACCTTTCAGTTATAGGCCCTTGTAGCAGCATAGCCCGCTGGAGTCCACGTGAGGACATGAGACTATATGTTGGATCTAGTCCTTTCAGGTGACCGTTTTAATCCATCCTCTATACCAGCATATGTAATGCATATGTAATGGTTTATATAAAAATGATTAGGGTCACAGGACTGTATTTGTGACAGTTATGGCAGCAAAGTAATAATCTTGTGACTTGCCATTAGCACCATTATAGCTCTGCAAGAGATTAATTAGCACATATCATGAGTGAAAAAAGATATATGTTTAACCTTGAAATTCTTGCCACTAAAGATAATGTTAAACCTGGCATATCCTTATCAGAAGATGGTGAGATCTTTAAGGTGAGGCACCTAGACAATTTATGAAGCATATTTTTGACTGAGAAGCATTCATGACCATGTACCAGCCCTCTGTCTTTGTAATTCTTGTGACAATGACCGAGAGTGGATGGACGAGGATCAATAAAGTGGCAAGTACAAATTTTTGTGATGAGCTGAACATTGCTGAAGCGATTGGCATTTGTCGATCTTTTGATAGTGCTCTCTATGAGAATTCGCAAAGCAAAGTGGTCAAAGTAGATTTTTGGGGCCTTATGACATTCGAGGTTCAGGTCAATGATCACTGTATAGCAAAATGAGCATATGAACGCATAGACAGAAAACAATGGATGAGTTATGCTAAAACAAACACTTACTTCGCTCTCCAACATTATGCAGAGAATGATATAATTCCTCTTGCACAAGCAGCAACATTTCGTAGTGGCAGAAATTCTCATCAGACTTCATAGTATACTTCGCAATGCAGTGCACGAATAGGTCAATCCACCTGTGCACAGTGATGACGTTCACATGCTGTCATCCATCTCTGCCCTCTGTGTTCTTGATCTAAAAGAGTGCATATAGTCAGTCTCCTACCCAGTTTCATTCTTTGGGCGGGAGAGGGATTCATCTGAATATAGTAATTTATGCCATGTTATAAAACATATGACTAATACAGTGCACATGATTAAGATCCAAACCACAGATCAACTTTATTCCCTCGTCCCGCCCTATGATGACTGGCACACAATGCATACAAATAAGCAGCCACAGTGACTGATAGTGGCTGAAAGTTGGTGGGCCTTGAAATAAATGCCATGCACACCAGGTCATTGTCGTGTCATCTCACATTTTTGGGACTTTTCCGGTAGCGTGCAATCAATGAGACTCATCCATAGTGTAAATCACCATTTGATGAGCTCTTATCTTTCTATACACCATGATCTCTCGTGCACAGTTTGATCTATTCTATGAAGCAATGTGCTGTCTGCACATCACCCTAGCAGATGTCATTCTGGCCCTTCTTAGTCCTGACTACATACATCATTCCTTCTTCCCACAACTTGCAGAATCATCTAGAGAAATCCTCCATGCATTTTTATCCAACCCACACACTGAGAAGTCGACTTGAAATGGATCACTGAAGTACATCACCAAGCTCATGAGTCTCACAGACAGTGACAATGGATGGCACTTCAATGCCGCATGAGCCAGCCCTGAGCATCGAGACATTTGATCTCACACATATGACAACAAAGATGTCTCAAAAATGTGAAATGATGCAACAATGACCTGGCATGCATGACATTTATTTCAAGGCCCCCCAACTTTCAGCCACCATCAGTTACAGTGGCTGCTTGTTTGTATACATTGTGTGCCAGTCATCATAGGGCAGGACGAGGGAATAAAGTTGATCTGTGGTTTGGATCTTAATCACATGCACTGTATTAGTCATATATTTTATGACATGGCATAAACTACTATATTCAGATGAATCCCTCTCCTGCTCAAAGAATGAAACTGGGTAGGAGACTGGCATATAGTCCACTTCAGATCATGTATTTGTCCTTACACATTCATCTCACCTAAAATGCCAGAAATTTTATTGCAAACTCCTTCACAACCTTGTAGTCCCAGAGATTGTTTGCATTATAAGGCTTGTGAGCCCACCCCTTGATAGTCATCTAAAGGAACTCAACAACCAATGCCCATGCCGTTAACATCCTCTGTCGAGCTTTCTTGGTCTTGAGATTTTTATATGGTTCGAGGTTGATAAGCAAGTTGTCTATCTCAGTGACAGCAGCCTCGGCTTTATCTGGGTGGTCCGTCAAATATCGAAGCTTGTCACGCAGATCTAGTAATCCTCATCCACTTGGAGCTGGTGCAGTTGAAGAATGCATATGACCAGTGTTGGGACCAGAATAAAGTGCAGTGGAGTATCTATCATGATTGTGTGTAGCAGAGCTAGTCGAGCCAGTAGTATTGTTCAAAATGGCCTGGTGCTCTAGCTGGCCAGCAGTTGGCACAGCTGATGATGAGTGTGGCATGGTGTGCTAAACAAAGGAGAGTACAAGGGAACAAATGTTAGGGAAGACTGTATGCACACAGACCAGAGAAGAGACACAGGGTGTATTCGCACCACGATCGTGTGTTGATGGCTGGAGATTTCCTGACTTAATTATACTCCCATGGTCCTCAACCTTTCCCTCGACTTTGCTGAGCTCCTGCAACTAGACACCAACCTCTCAGCCACATTATATATGCTGCCCCCGCTGGCATTCATTCTGCCACTGCTGGAAGATTCCATGCAGCAGACTCCACAAGAGCTTTCTGACATTTCTGTTTGACTCGATTGTGTATGTGAAGAGGATCGCATTAGCATGCAGTCACAATTTCACACTACGCATTGATCGCCAATGTGAACCAAGTTGCTACGTACACAAATGCAGATCTGAATCTCTGGGAGCACAACATGCATCTATCCAGGTTGATTAACAATGACCGCAGTTCTCTCCTTTTACTGTGAGCATCCTGCTCACATAACATCTGCAGAATGCTGAGACATCCACCTGCTATGATTTGATTTTCATTTTACATTTTGTGCTCTTCTAATAGCGTACAATCTCACTGAGCCAGTTTGTTGGTGACCTGTGCTGACGAGGCTCATCAGATGGCCTTGGTCGTGGTCCCAAAGTTCAACTTTTTGAGAATGCTGAAGAGCATCGAGCATTACTGAATCAAGTCTCTACCATGCACACCTTCTTGTTTTTCCTCTGTCTAGTCTGCTCATGCCCATCTATAGCATTGTACCACCCATTGTCATCCTCCTTTGCAAGGTTGGCATGCAGCCCATTCGACATACAATCACTCAAATTTGAGCACAGCACCCTGAACTCAGCAAGCACAACCTTAGCTCTATTCAAGTGATACTATCTAGTGCTAAGCCAGTATCGAAGAAGGTTACCCAACAGCTCATGTGTATCTTCCCAGATGCATCTATCGCACAGGATTATGGTATGTGATCATGATGGCATGTTCAAGCTGTTATCTCATTTGGGGGGTCTGCCAGGCCTAACAAATACCAGTGTGACCCTGTTGATGCCTCGACTTGACATGAAGATTGCTACATCAGATAGATCAGGGTCCTATTACCAGATGTGACTGCATGGATATTGTGAGTGGATGAAAGCCTCACATTGCACAATGAGCTGGGCCAGCTAATGGGTGACGGGCCCCGCCATGGCTCTGTGCTATTTGAACAATGAGCAAGTGTGAGTAGTCTGTTTTCAGACAAATCCGATTGAAGTGCATTTCACAATCAGAAATAGCACCAAGAAAACATTCATGGATAAATAGGTGTATACAGGCAGTGAAGTGATGCTCGATGATAATGGATAAAATGGTCTAACATTGGCTGACAAATGTAATCAGAGATATAAAATCTGCTAGGTTAATCAAATCCTGACACGCTTCTTTAAGTACATATAACTGAACTTGTTCAACATAACTACATGGTTGTGAGCGGCACCACATCTGCGATGTCTGCATGATCATGTACGTAGTAAAGATATTCTAAGTGCATTTTTTAGTACCCGCTTTATATTTGTAAGTACTCCCTTTAGATTTGTAAGATACCCGCTTTAGATTTGGGAGTGCTTGGTTCACTTGTTTTGAGACCTGCTTCATCTGCCATCTCATACTTACTCCACACTGAGGCATGGGTGAAGTGGGATATAGAGATGTGCAAGGTACCCTTCCCATTCTTCCACTCCATGAGTCAACACTTTACCCCAAAACCAAATGCAGTCCCCCCGATGACAAGCTGGATCAGTGCATTAATTTAAATTTAAGCAAGAATATTACCTGGCTGCATCAGGACCCTGAGACCTAAAGATGCCAGATAGATAAAGCCTCCAGTAAAATATCTCAATGCTACAATCTCAACTCATCCTAAAGGAGTATCATGCTTGTTAATGTGGATAGGTGCTCGACTATTGATAAGATATTCTCTTCCTTCCAGGATCAGAGGGTCCATATAACCAAACATTCTTGCACCTGCATTCTCTTCGTTCATCCTGTCACGAACCTTTTCAGCATTTGCATAAAACTGAGGATCTATGATTTCGAGCACCGCATTCATTTATACAGCCAGTAGGTCTTGTGATTTCAATATCTGGGCAGATTGCATGAAGCCAGTTCCATTTTTCAACATGTCCATGCTGTGTGTAATAGGACTAGTAGGCTATCTGGCATATTAATGTCATGCTTAAGTAAAAAAAACCTTTATACTTACAGAGTGACCAATTTGATGCCAGCCTCTGCTCAAGGCAATGTCTCCCTTGAGACCCTTTCCTTTATACAAATGTTTCTTGCCTTTCTTGACTTTAGGGGGCACATATATGAAGTACGCCAGAAGGTCCTGTACCAAGAACTCCTATTAATTATGTCAGTGACATTTTAATATATTTTATGTTAGGTAACTCACATGTGCTCGCTCCTTGATCAGCTGTGGTAAATGATAGACTAGCTTGTGTCCATCAGCAGAGTATGCACTTCACGCAACGCCATCATTCCAGGTTATGATCTTAGATGGCGAATGCTTGAAGCTGTTTAAAGCATCTGTAAAATTGAAGTCAAAATTCTCTAAATTTGTGTAAGATAGTTTATATATTATTATCAAAAAAAAACATGCCTCGAGTTTTCTTCGCAAGTTTTGTCAACCATCAAGCCTCCCTCTGAACGTCCTTCTTCATCACTGCATGTCACCTTTTATCCTTCCTGTAGTTGTTGAATTTATTGACATGATACATGTCAAATTATAAACACTTACATGCTATTTTCAATTTTCTGGTTCATTGTCAAGGCACATGTCGCATCTTCGTCAGAGATAGACATGTTAAACAGGTCATCCTGTGACATATATGTTGAACAACAACAGCCAAGACTAACACCACGTCTAATAACTCACGACACCACTGGAAATTTGGGTACAAACGAGCAAGGTAATGCTACATTAACTACCTCCCTTTGAACCATGCCACTTCAGGGCAGGCGACACAGCTCACATGCCCAGCACTTATCTGGCTGCCATTCCTGCAGCCCCTGTACCTGGCTCTGATGCCTCTAAGGCCCACTGCTATCTCGCAGTGCCTCTCAGGCCCCAAAAGCCAACAATATATGCATCATCTCCATCAGAAATGAACATGTCAGATGAGATGTCCTTGAATAATATTAATACTAGCCCTATTGAAACACAGCATATGTGCTCAGATCAGGAGCCTTGGCCACAGGGGTGGGGCCCCAGACACCAGCAATCAGGACCCCAATCACATCTGAGCCCAGTCACATGATCAATCTCCCAGATCACAGGTCAGCAAATCAGAAGTGTGGCCACAAAAGGGCATGACCCCGGACACCCCTGATCCAGACCTCAAGCACCACTCCTATGTGGATAACTCATGGTCAAATTCTCTCCTCCAGCTGCCACACTGCTTCTTTCCATGCACGTCCATCAGATATAAGTGGGCTGGGATGATGTATTCTCACCTGTGATAGCTTACCCATGTTTTCGTCCCAGTAACAGAAAAGAAAAAAAAAAAGGAAAAAAAAACCCAAAAACAAACCAAGACACAATGGCTCAGTAGGCAATACAACCATGTGCACCAGCTGGGGCAACTCCTGCTAAGCATGCACACTTTTCAACAAAGAGATGGCTATATTGCTCCAAAGGTGCGCTGAAACAACTTCTGTGTTCGTCATTGTCACAGTATTAGGTGGCACCTTTCTTTTTGCACCATTAAAGTCATCATTTGGCAACTACAAGTGGTTATTCAGATGCCAACCTTCATATTGGTCTCACAAAGTGGATACTTGGACAAACAGCACAATAATGTCACATACATTGTGAATTCGACTGTGTCTACCACATGACCATCAAGCGCCCATGATTCAGCCACCCAGTCACATGACACTGGTCACTTGCCCTATTCAGAAGTTGTCAGGTGTTGATCATGTGACACCAGGTCACTTGCCCAGAAAGAAACTCTTTGGACCATCAAGCTAGCAAGCACCCAATTTGTCACTCAGATAAGTGACACCAACCCTATTGGCTACTCCATAGTGGCCCCATGTCACCGCTCAATAGTGGCACCACTTTGCTGCTCAAATAGTGGCACCACCTTCAGGCAATTATCCCATTGGATTAGATAGGATTGCCTCAGCGTATTCACAGCCTTTGTAGATAGTTGCCATAGTAGCTACCAGAACCTAACCAGTTATGGTATCATGTTCACATATAGGTGTCAGGGGTATTTACCTTAGTATAGTGACTGAGGTCCCTACCTGCATGTATATAAGCACCCATGAGGAAGCTGGGTATCCCCAGTGTCATTCATCTATTTCATGCAGCTTTACAAGCCATCACCCCCTCTTTGTGTGATATAAGGCTAAGGGCCCTTTGAGCCCCTTTTTGCAGGCTGCATGTCACTGCATGCCTTTTTGGCCTGACCCTTTGCGGCAGATCCTTATTTTGGTATTTGTGCAGGTCACTGAGCGCAGCTAGCACCTTGCCGCCATTTTCTTGCCTTTTGGCAGGATCTATGATGTGCTGTGACAGCCATTGGTACCTCACCATTGATCTCCATGAAGAAAAGAGAAATAACAGAGAACTCACCACTGAGAAAAGAGAGGAAATAGATTGTCAGAATTATCACCAGATGCTTCACCTGCAGGAGGCTCAGCCTGCAGCTGCTGTAGGTTGTGGTGTTCTTCCATCATAGTACTTGTGTTCATTTGCTCTCAGAGAACCTTCAAAATCAAGTTAGTAAAAGGACTCACCTAGAGAGACAAGTTAGTCGTGCAGCAGAGACAGGAAATACAACGAGGCTGCGCAAGCTCGTTGTGATGCTGAACGTGAGAGTTTGCTGCAGCGCTTCAGAGCGCTTGCACAGCATCATCTGTATGCTCGACCTCATATTTTTCCACCGGTTGCGCTCCATCCTGCACTTCAAGGAGGGAGTACGATATCAAGTACCTTTGTACAAAAACCTAAGTCTTCATTTGAATAAGTTGTGGGAAGATCTAGCCTATCCTGTACCTGGCTATACTGTATGCCAGTTGGTAGGGGGATCCCTTGTAGTGCCTGCCTATTGGCTGAGCAGCAAAGTGATATCACTATCTGAGTAACGAATTGGGTGCTTGCTAGCTTGGTGATCCAATAAGCTTGGGCGAGCCTATTGTGGGCCAAAGGTTTCCATTCTGGGTAAGTGGCCTGGTGTCACGTGACCAACATCTAACAACTTCTGAATAGGGCAAGTGGCCAGTGTCACGTGACTGGGTGGCTGAATCATGGGCGCTTGGTGGTTATGTGGTAGACACAGTCGTATCTGCAATGTATGTGGTGGTATTGTGCTGTTTGTCCAAGTATCCACTTTGTAAGACCAATATAAAGGTTGGCATCTGAATAACCACTTGTGGTTGTCAAATGAGGACTTTAATGGTGCAAAAAGAAAGGTGCCACCTAATACTGTGACACCATTACTCAAACACACTCACCCCACACCCAACATCCTCAAGTCAGTTACAAAAAATCTGCAGGCCTTGCACCCTTCAGAAGGAGTCACCCCTCTATATCATCACACCCATTGGAGATAGAGCACAGCAGTTCATACTCACCTCACTCCACAATGCAGCAAACAGTACTGCCAGACCATGGACCATAGAGAGGTGGTAACTGAGCATATTACCAGGTGCTTGATAGGGCTACAAAGTCTGGTGAGGATGAAAATCTGAGTTGCTAAGGCTCATAATTTAGGGTGTGAGACTGAAATGAGGTGGCGTAGGTGCAAAATGCAGTAACATAACTTAGCTGGGTGCTTCCTGAGTCGAGCTATGGACCACTAACAAGAATGCTGTCCTGCGCAGTGTCGAGAGTCAATGAGACATGGAATGTAGATGTAGACTGATGAGACAAAATAGGGTGTGCTGCTCTATTGTGAATGTACACATAGAACCTGAAATCTGATTTGTGAACTGAGTTTGTTTTTGTGCTATCTACACAAGGTATTATACAGGTGTAGTACTATGCTGTTCAAATTGTACTTTTATTCTTAATTCGCGTATTGGCTGCTAACGCACGAGAACGTTATCAGCAAAATCTGTCACTGGTGTCATTCTACCAGGCTGCACCCCCCGCTGGGCCTGTGACCCGCACCCCAGGTCATGTTCGCTGTGTGCAACAATGAGCTGGACACTCTGTTTATGCACCCACATGTCCATTGTTCACGCTTCTTGTCGTGCGCTATCTTCTGCAACATCAAAGAGCACAGTTCCTCACTGTTTGCACGTACTCTGGCCACCAACTGACTGACCTTGCCATCATGAATGCCTCCCCACGTACTTCACAATATTGTCGTTCGTTCTCATACAGAATGCATACTTGAGGCCAGCTTATTCAATCCTTGAGCCACATCTTATTCATGTAAATATCCATCAGGACTGAACAATATAATTGATTGCTTTTGCGAGCCCATCAGAGAGCCTGTACAGTTATTTCTGCACTACGAGCTAAATTTGTATGTGAAGTTTGTGCTATCTCATGGATCCGCAAAGTAAGAATAGGCATCAAATGGACTGAGTGGTTCTGGTGCCTTCACCTTCAGTGTGGGAGGTGTCAAAGGCATGGGCAGAGCCTGACCACTGGTGTCATCTTGCTCTTCATTGCTGTCAGCTACCACGATGATTTTTATGGCATCGGCATCCTGCTTTGCACTCGAGGTGGCAGTCTCGCTGTCATTGACTGCCCTGGTGCTAGTCTCGGAAAGGTGCATCAGAGCATTATCTGATGTCAAACGTACAAATTAATCAGCACAGCAGGCTAGCAGGCACTGCAACATACCATCAGTCTCACACTCAGTGGCAGGCGGGCTCAGCGAATGCAGACCACGCTCAATGAGCTCATTGTCCGTGTCATCTATTCCTTCTTTAATAAATGCCTCGTGCGCATCTTCACCATTGCCATCGCCATGCTCCGAACGCTCATCGTCCTCTGTGGTCAAGCTATCGAAACATTCATTTACATAGTATGATAATGATTTGACGCACCCTCCTTCGCAAATGCCTTTTTTTTGCCTTTTTTATCAGCAGATGGAGCATTTTTTTCGAGAGCCTCTCCTGGTACTCACAGTTCATACACGTTCTCGTCTATTGCTTGATGAGGTGCTGTCCATTGCAATTTTTGTGAGTTTTCTATATGGCTGTCTACCTCACTGCGACTTACTGATAAAGATCTGTGATTCCTTCTAACCACCACCACTTCAGCTCTTCATCAGCAAATAGTGGGGGCCATCTGGATGCTCGGCCTTGATAGCCTAGAACTTGGTCTTGCCACTTCGAGACAGCAACACATATGGTAACTGGTGCATTCTTATCTCCTCATCATCTTCCTTGTTGATGGACATCACCCAGGGATCACTCTTCGCAAAATGGGAGAAAAGCTTAGGTAGCAATCCACGCAGGAAGACGTGCATTGATGCAGGCCCCCACATATTGCTGAAGAAGATCCCACCAACCAAGTCAATGACACCCAAGCCATGATCCTGCAGCTGCAGGAGCTCATGCTGATTAGGTACAATGTTTTCCTTCATTTTGAGTATCTGCTGATTTGTCAGATTCATCTAGCATAGCGTCACCAGCCACATATCGCAGACAGCCCAATTTGCAAAGCTGCCATGCTGTAGACTCGCACCATGCCATCTGGAACCTGCCTTCTTTCCGTAGGTACTCTGCCATTAAACTAGCAGCCCGTGAGGTCGAGATATGTGCAAATCAAGCACACGCTAACAATACCTTCATGGCAGAACCACCTTGACCTTCTTTGACATTGCTGCAATTGCTGCGAAACGTCTGGTGGACTTCTTTGCGAGCGTCTGTTTGTGAGATCTTTGCTACGAAGCTGTTTTTCAGGCCTCTCAGGATTTCATTAACATGCTCATTGTTCCGGTGAGATGATTTCAGCTTCTGCATTATGTGATTGTAATTTGTGAGTCAACTGAACATCTACATTTGCCAAATCTGGCCATACACACTTCAACAGGCAAGCATTCCTCATCGCTTTCATCTTTGATGCATTGATGAGAGCTTCTAGGTTGTGCCATCACTGGAGAGGTCAGCAGAGGTTTATGACAGAGCAATAAGGGGGGAATGAAGTTGCGTTGAGTCAGGCTTTTTTTTGCTTATGCAATCCTGACAGGCCATCATCAATCTCAAAGTATGATCTCATTTGCTGTGTCACAGTGAGAGATAAACATTTCTATTATACAGAAATTGGTAGCTAACATGTTCTGTCGCTAGTTGTACACATTTTCGTGCATAAAATAGGTCATGAAATGGAGTCCCTGTGCCTATAGCTCTGCTCGCGGACGCCATATATGTTCTGGCAGCATTACTATGAGCTCCTTAGTACCACGATGTCCCAAACGTATGGCCTCCTCATGATCGTAGGCATCAATCTCTTCTCCAATGAGCACTCCGTACCCTGCCGGAAGGAACCCATCCCCATGAACAGCAGCCAAAGCATTGAAAAATAAGGTCTCTGTGGCCTCATCTGCAAAAGGACTCGCATGTGCCGGCACATTGACAGAATCATGGCGAACATTACCCTGCTGAGCTGCTGCGATCTGCTCTGATATATCAGCAGTAGGACCATCAACTATGGTGTCATCTTCATTTTCTGACTCCTCCTCTTCTGGAGGGTGCCCTGCACCTGTCTGTCCTCGTCGCCGATGTACTGGAGTGCCTGCCATATTGTATAGTTCATGCAGTACATCTGGATGAATATCAGCACCATCATCGACATAAATGCCATTTGCAGCCTGGCCAAGAAAGCGCATGTCCTGAGAAAGCGTCAGATGATTTCATGCTGCGAGTGCACCAAGTTAAGACCGACATTGGGGCTCTCATCATGAGTGTCAGGGCCAGAGATCGGGTACGCATTCCACTCGTCTTGGAAGGCCCTACAGTCAACATTGACAGCAAGGATGTGTAGCAGCCAAAGATGGTGGTGGTTGTCCCTACGTTCGAGGTGAAGGAAGAATGCATGCCATTCATGGTGAAACTGGTGCCTGACTTCGACCCACAGCTGCGCGATTCGGGTATTGTGATCGAGCTGCCACACTGTTAGTATCATTTGTGATATGATCATGGTCCGTGCATATCTTCCCCACATGAAGGATGCACGATTTGGTCCATGGCGCATAACCATCCACACGGCCACCTCCATATTCTCGCCACCCCGATCTCCACGTACATGAGATAGAGTCTCATGCTCCTGGACTGCTGTTAGAAAAAGATCAAGTACGGTGGTTGCAGAGTTGTTGGTGCTAGCCCGCAGACCTGTGATCTAGACAGCTATTAGGATGCACTGAGCAATGGAACATTGAAAGCACCACATACTGTCCGACAATACTCATCTATAAACCCATGAATCACTATTCCTCAGTGGATGAGCTTGTGGTGCCCATCGCAATGCCACAGTGCGTTTGGATGAGATGACTTATATTTGTGATGTCGAATAGTATGTTGCTGTCTTAGGGCATGACCAAGTTCATCAACACGGTGTAGAGATTGATATATGCAGTTCTTCTGAATGTGGAGGTGATGTCGCTGCAGAAATCCTCAAAGATATAGGATGCCCGAGTCAAGCTTGCCGTGCTTGTAAGCCTTGACAATCAAGTCCAAATCATGGTTCGTAAGCATGGATAAGGCTCGACGTAGTTCGTGCCCTTTAAGATTTTTGCAGATTGTGTGCCTGTGGACACTGAGCATGCAGACGAGCCATGCGATTGTTATGTTTCACCTCTTAAACACCGCCTCTTCTAAGAATGCCTTATCTATGACCATGCAAGGTCTTCCAGGCCATCCAATGGGGCTTATGAAGATTGGATTAACCCGTGCAATGTGTGAAGTATCCCTACAATCAATGTTGCTAGATAATGAGGACTTCATATATATGACACACCTTCCACTAGTGTTCTCCATCATGGCTCAAAGCCCAGATATCACTTGCATAAGAGCATGCACAACCTCTTCGAACCATTTCTGTGGGATTATGCTGCCTTCATCATCTTCTGAGTGCTCTGCAAGAAGCTCCAGGATTGGAACCATTTCCGTCGTCAGTTTCTCGAAATGATATCGAAGCTGTAGCGGATCTGCATCGTCAAGGCAGACAACTCGACTTGCATGCTTGTATGCATCATTCAGCAGTCTGAACGCACTGCATATATTTGCAGACCATGCGGTCAAGGGCCTAGGGGTGGGAAGACATGGTAGCTCAGTGGGGGAAAGATTAGTCATGTGCGTGTGATAGGCAAACAAAAACGGTGACAGGCAGCAAGGACAGACAGGTGATTGAGGGCCACTTGCCTTCTTAGGATTGACACTAGTGGTCTCTGCAGTCTTTCTCAGCACAAGCAATCTGCTGCATATATGCAAAATATCCTCAAAACTACAGCTCAGGTGGTATAATTAAAAATGAGCACTCTAGTCCAGTCGAAGCACTACTATAATGAGCCTGAAGACACGTACACATTCCGAGTAAGCACAAATTCAGCTCAGTTGAAACCCAACTTATGACATGCAACTCAGGTCGAAGATACCATTTTCAAGCTTCATTCTGTGGTTTTCAGCAGTGCAAGCACAGTCTTTGCAGACATGTTCACACTGCCAGTACCTGCCGAAAATGCAGAATTCTCAATAGATGGCTTAAGCGAAGACAAACCCATAATGCTATGCCAGGTTGCGGCACAGGATTTTGACTATCTATGTGACTCCCTTTATCTTCACAAAATGTGAGTAACTGGTTTGTGAATAAACAGTACTAGTACAAACCAACCTCAATGGTCAAAACAGATGGATAGCCCCACTGTATGATCTGCAATTTCTTATCGCTGTTCTCGAATTGTCACAGAGATGGGAAATCACAAGCGGCGAGCAATGGGCCACTCACTATCTCAAGACAATCATGGACACAATCAAGCCAGCTCTACGGTTTCGATTGGCATGCATATACAACTTTCCAGACTCATGCCTAGCAGTTTACATCTGTGTCAGTAGAGATGTGTTTGAGCCTGAAGAGCTGCACTGCCCTGTCATGGCAATGCTTGTGGTGAGATAGGCTGAAAGTGGAACGTCCTGGTCCCAGAATCCGAATGGGATCTGGAAGCCTGGTGTGTGCCAGGAGAAGATCACAAGGAACACCCACCCGGCATGCATTGCATGACAGAACAGAACAAGGCAAGAAAAACACAACAACAGGAGATGGGTGGGTGGGTCGAAAGAGTGTTCGAGCTCGTGTTGTGAGCAAGGGAAGATGATGGTGGTCACAGGATGAGGTGCTCTTGATGCTTCATCACGCGTCTCATTTTGCAACATGCTGTCATGAGTCCTAGAATTCGATGGGACATGTCACGATCGAATCTGCGTAACTTGTGCCTAGCAGTCTACGTCTGTGTCAGTAGAGATGTGTCTGAGCCTGAAGAGCTGCACTGCCCTGTCATGGCAATGCTTGTGGTGGAATAGGCTGAATGTGGAATGTCCTGGTCTTGAAGTCTGAATGGGATCCGGAAGCCTGGTGTGTGCTGGGAGGAGATCATGAGGAACACCCAAAGCTAGACGAAGACGCTGATGAGCGATCACTATTGATGCTCAGAACCCCTACCACAAGACGAGTCAAGCGAATCATCATATAATTGTACAAAACAACGTAAAGTGAACATGCATATGAGATATTACTATGAAAGGTCGAACCGGACGGATTTCTTCGTGAGACATTTACGATGATGGGAACGAGAGAGAGAGAAGGTGCCACCATTAGAGTAAGAAGCTCCACGTGCATAGGAATGATGGTTTCTATGGCACACCAATACCACAGGAAGGAGTCAGAAGACCATCTGCCCATGACTTTGACAATGTTTGGATCCACTCCACCCAGCAAGAGTTCGGTGGTGCCGCCGATATGAAAAGAATGACCTGTAATGCAGGCATGTCCGTGTTTGGTCCAAACTCCATTACACACTGGCAAGAAATGTTTCTTAGTCAGACATGACCAGGAGTTGTTGGTTGGATGGAAAGAAAGCAGCGGCAGATCAGCAGGGACTGGATTAATGCGAAGGTGGTGTCGAAGGGCAGTAATGGGGTCAGAAGGGCCCCGCTGACATGTAATTGTGACCTTCTCACTGGCGCACTTTTTGACTTTGGTGAATGGGAGATGCAGGAAATGTGAGCCATGCAGTGAGGATGCTTCAGCTAGATGTCGTTGGGAAGGTATTTGTCAAGGATCAAAGTGAGTTGGGAAGAGGAGAAGACCTCCCCAAGATGCAGTTGACCCCAGAAGGCCACATCAGCTGCGCAGAGGATGCAAGCCATTTCTGGGTCACATGGGTCAAGCTCGCCATGCAGCAGTTTCAGTAAGGACTGAGTGATAGGTAGTCATGGAGGTTTTGGGCTGGGACTGAGACGTTCAATTGCACTATGAGTGTAAGTGAGTCGCAAACTGCCATGCCAAGGGGCACCTTGGATAATATGCCATGCACATACAGCAGATAGCATATTCTGGCCAGCTTTGGATGCCGTGAAGGTGCAGAGTAAGAATTCATTGGCAGGAAGTCTCATGTGTGGTGAAATGCTTGCACCATCACAGAAGGTGATAAAGGATCTCAGGCAAGAGCTATACTGATCAAGAGTAGAAGCTGCGAGACACTGCGAGAGGACAGATTCGGTATGAGAGTTGATGTCGACAGATAGGAAGTCACGAGAGGATAAAGATCTCCGTGAGCTGTTACTGTTCAATAGGACAGGTTGGAATAAAGAGCATGCAGAGTGACTTGATTTTGTGGTAGTTGCGTAAGGTTGGTGTCAGGCAGTCCATGTCCACTCATGCCGAACGAGACCATCAAAGTCTGAGGGCCCATAGTGAAAGGCAGGTATTGGATTGCCCAGAGACTCATGCAGATGGGAAGAAAACTGAGAAAGAAATGCAGTAAAGGGAGCACTAGAGCTGGTGGGTTCCATAGAGTGAACAGATGGCTACCAGTCTGAGGTGGCTAGCGCATAGGAACCAGCACCGGCCTTTGAACAATACGATAAATTACAGACCATAAGTACTTATATTATCATAATTACCATACACGCTCGAGAAAAGGATCAAGATGCAAAGGTACAGGAAAGAGGTATCACAAATGCGAAGAGCATGGAGGAAAGATGCCACGAGAAGGGGGGTCTGCGAGATTGTCTTTTGTATTTACATATTCGGTACGAATTCAGATACCGTGTGCAGAGAACAGAGATACAATCTTTTGAAGAACTTAGTTCTGGGGAATGCTGCATAAGCGACCAGCTTCAAGTGCACCAATGACACCTTGGTTGTCTGAACGGATAAGGTATCAGTGTGCAACCTTGCCATCGGTGATCAGATGGTGGACAGCCAACTCAATGGTGACCATTTCTGTCCATCCAATATTGCGACTGTCTGATTTCCATTATGGGCGGAGGTGCCAGGCTTGCCAATGTCCATTTACGATGAGGCCAATTTCCCAGGAGGAGGATGTGTCAACAAAGATAGACAAGGAGTCATCGTCTGGTGGAATAGACAGCTTTAGATCTGCAGAAAGGTTGAGAAAGTGTACTCCACCACCAGTCGACGTCAGTGAGCACTGCTGTGGGAATGCGATGTTTAACATATGAATTTGTGGTGGAGGCAAAGGCAGCATTCATATGGTAAAAGGACGGAAGACAAGAGCATCCATCAGGAATGGTGAGGCAGCAGTGCGTCAGGGTATCGATGACAGTTTGGCAGTCCTTATGTGAAACAGAAGCACCAGAGACCCATGGCATGAGACGAAGGAGATATTTAGCTTTCTTGTTGTCGGGTATCTCGACAGTACAAGCTGGTATGCACCAGTGAAAGCCATGATAGTCGAAAGCTGGAGCAAATGGAACATGCTTTGGCAGGGACCACGGCCAGCCAAGGTGCACAGCAACAGAGAAGATGAGGGACTCATCATATGAATAGAGGAAGGAGCCATCAGGATTCCGGCCAATCAGATACTGAAAAAAGAGAAAGTCATCAACCCATTTGATGATGTCTTGGACTCCTTTGAACTTGAAAATGTGTACGATGGCATCAGCACCGTGACTGAAAATGCCGTTAGAGCTGGCAGAGCCAAAAGCTGCACAATGGTCAATGTAAATGAGACCGTTCCACATGACAACAATGAACACTTGATCATCAGGTGCGATTGGCATGCAGTGATAGGCTTTCTCGACATCATTGATGCATACTTGCGCTCCAGGAGGGGAGTTGACCAGCAGAAGTACGCATTGAGTAAAGGTGCCTCATTCAGTAAGAAAGTCATCTGGATCAATCTCAGAGTTGACAGAGGGTATCGCGGGGTCGTTACATGGGTAAGAGAGATCTTGAATGATGCGGAAGACACCCAGGCTATTCGCCTTCAGAATGGTGCCAAGAGGGAAGGTACAAAAAGGACCGATAAGAGATTCGAGATGATCAGGATGGAAAGGACCAAAATACTGGCATGCAGCCAGCTCAGTGGAAATGTGTAGCGCAACAGCCTCAGGATGATCTGAGGCAGATTTGTGATTACGAGAAATATACGTAGAGGTGAGGCGGGAAGAAACACCCAAGCAAAAACCATCTCGGATGCCGATGGAAACATCACTGAAATCACCGAGGCAGCCTGCTGCTGTGAGCTCCTCTAACCATGCATCTCAGCACAGAGGAGTGATGACAACTCGCACATCAGTGAGTGGGACAGGTTTGGGTGTTGTGCCCTGTCTGTCTGCAGAGAGAGCACAGGTGTTGTCGCTGACATCCTCGACAGCTGCCGAGGTTGAATCGAAAGCACGTGTTGATTCCCTTGGGCGTGACAAATTTGCCATCATGGCGCTGCATGAAGGGAGGTCGATCGCAGGTGCAATCAGTTCCTTTATGCGCAGTGCTGCCGCATGTGATGCAGCGCAAACTGGTTGCAGCAGCACCCCCCCACTCAGAGTCCCAGGCAGGTCCGGCCTCACAGTGAGGTCCTGAGCACTTGCAAAAGGAATGAGAGGGCGTTGCAGCAGCGCAGCCACTGGAAGAGCAGTGAATGCAGGTCGCTGAGCCGGCGGTGGGTTATATACAGGGTCATAGACATAACCTGCCTGGTTGTGGGTGCCCATGTTAAAGCTGGTCACACATTCCTCACAAATGTGGGAGTAGAGGCTGGCTTGCCATAGAGAGGGCGTGACAGTGACTCCGTTATGGTGTTGGCACCGGATCATGATATCGAGGGTGGTGTACGTGCCAGTTAGCTCAGCCCAGTCGAAACAGCTGATAATAAGACTGAAATGGGCTTCAAACTCGTCCGCAAGATGAATTCACCCTTGCCTCGGGTAGTGCGCATGAATGAGAGAAAGGTAGCATGGGTAGGCTTGCTGGAATTCAGCAGCAAAGAGGAACGGTTCACAAGAGGCATCGAGGACCAGAAGTGAGACGGTGACAGATCCGTTCTTGATCTTAAGAGTCTCCTTTTGATGGTGAGCCAGCCTATGGACACTGCGACAGGCCTCGTTCATCAAGGCTGTGAGCAGTATGTATGCCTTGAGGCCTGAACGGATGATTTTGATGACCGCAGGAGGATCCATAAGACGATCAGGATTGAGCTCCGTGAGAATGTCAGGAAAGTCATGCAGTGACAGCTTGCGAGGGCCAAGAGGCACAGCGGTCGAGAGTGCAGTAGCAATAGGGGCTGTAGACAACCCAAGGAGTCAGCAAGGAAGGCGAAGTTCAGAAAGTGAATGGCAAGAGAGACCTGAAGGGGTCAAGGAGTGCATGGGCAGTGCAGAGGCAACTGCCAGTGATGGTGAGGATGAAACAAATTTTGGGACAAGAGGCACAAGGGCGCAAGAAGGAGAGAGGTGCGAGGGCACAAAGAGATGAGAGGTGCAAGGGCACGAAGAGATGAGAGGTGCAAGGGCACGAAGAGATGAGAGGTGCAAGGTGCGAAGAAATGAGACATGCGAATAGCGTGAAGTGTGGGATGTGTGAGGCACAGGAGAAAGTGGCACAGAGAAGTGAGAGAGGCAAAGGCACAGAGGTGCGAGGGTGAAGGATGGAGGCATGACACACATGCGAAGTGGGTGAGAGGCACGAGAGGTGCAAAGGAGAGGAAAGGGTGAAGTCACATACTGTTAGGTAAGGCCACTGGCAGTGAAGAGGACCTGGCCAGAGGAGGCTGCCACTGAGGAGCCACCGATTGCTCCAGGAAAGCTTCATTCAGCTTCTGAAGGTACTGCTGATACACCTCTCTTGCAGATGGAGGCAGGGAGGCAAGTCAGACATGGACGTCGTGATCAAGGTTGTCGTGGGGTTCACGAGAGTCGAGATCGACAGAGTGCCCCCTACCAGGAGGTGATGGAGGGGAAAGGTCACCAGGCCATGGTGAGGAGTGCAGAACGACAGCCAGGGGGGAAGAGGGCACAGTGGCAGGGGCCCACAACTTTCCTCACTGAGCATGCTTGGACGAATGCGCTTTCGCAGGTTTGACCGAGTGGTGGTGGCTAGCCTGCACCAGGGTGACAGGTGCTGACGGTACGCCATTGTCTCGACGTGTGTCAGTGGAGGTGTCAGGCCAGTTGGAGGGAGGTGCAGCAGGGTGAGAAGTGGACCGCGTACAGCGGTCAGATGCGATGACTATGCAGAGGACCCGTGGACACCGTGGGGGAGGGGAAATGACATCATTGGGGTCGATCATGTGGGAATCTGAAGCGGTGGGTGGTACATTATCCACCCCAGGTGAAATTGTCTTCTCCTCGAACTGGAAAGCCCCTGAGTTCAGTTACAGGCTGGGCAGCAGAAGGGGGGCAGCAGTGAGCCCCGAGGGTTCAGTGAGGGCACCGGGCAAAGCAAAGAAGGAGCCAGTGAGGAGGTTGTCCATGTGAGAGATTAAGGAGCGTAGCGGAATGGAGGGAGGGGACGAGGAATCAAAAGAGTGTCCGAGCTCATGTTGCGAGCAAGAGAAGATGATGGTGGTTGCAGGACGAGGTGCTCTTGATGCTTTATCATGCATCTCATCCTGCGACATGCTGTCATGAGTCCTAGGATTTGATGGGACATGTCACGATCGAATCTACATAAATGGGTCCCCCCAGCGTTCGCATTATTGATGTTCAGGTCACTGTGGGACTTGAAAAGGTGCAATCGTGAATGGTTGGGCTACGAGGCATACACCATTCTCACGCAAGCTCAAGAAGAAGTGTGTAACATCCACCTCAAGCTCACATTCATCCTGCCAGAATATCAGCAAAGTCTGCAGTGACAACTGCTCTGAGAACAAACATCATCAATGTGTGGCGGCATGGAAGGAAGCATGGATCATGCACATGGGAAGGCAGCTATGTCATCCATCACATATCTTTGCACTCAAGATGCATGAGGCAGAGGAGGAGATTAGGAAGCTGCGGGTAAAAGGTATGAATGGAAGCTGCCTTGATGTGGCAATGACGATGGCAGCCGAGATGACAGGCTTCAGCGTAGAGGGAAAATTGGTGGATGCAGCCGTGTGTGCGCTGTCAGAAGTGCAGTTTAATAGGCATGAGGCAGTATCATTAGAAAATGGCCAGAAGTAGATTACATTTCTCAGGATCGTGTACTCCATCCCATCATCAAGCATGAGGCCAGATGGTCTCTCCTCCATGAAGACAGTGCTATCTGAAGGGTTGCTGAGGCAGTCGAACAACAGATGCTGGACATACCTCCTTAATAACGGAGAATTTGATGGCGAGTGCTCAAGCACAGTGCCCCGACGGGAGTTAAGTCCCAAACACGTTAAGGTTAACGTGCATGTTAAGTCCAAAACGAGTTAAGGTAACGAAGGTAACGAGTTAAGAATAAATGTACAATTTGAACAGCATATAGTATGACATCTTCTAGTGTTGTAGAAGACATTTCCAATCCTTGTCCATGTTTTCAATTCTCTGAAACAGTCCCTTAGATGTTCCCCACCTCCTCCTTGTTATCACTCGTAGTAGGGGAATTGAAAGGTGCAGCCCTATAAGGGTCCAATGGTCTGCTGCCCTGCACTTTTCTTGCTTAGAGTGCACTCTCAATTTCATTTTGCCAAATGCATCTTGCTCCATCTCTTCTCCCTTTATTCTTATAATCAGTGGTGCTAGCTCATGGGTTCTAGCTCATCTCTGAGCCTCATGTGCAACCTTCTTGATACTTCACTGCCTTCACAGGTTCCATAGAGTCAGGAGCCCTCATCCGGTTCTGTCTGGAGTATTCTATTTGTCTGATAAGTGTTTTCAAGTCACATGGTCCTGTGCTGCTCTTCTCATTGAGTTTCTGAGTGCAGAGTTATCCGGTGCATATCACCAGCCACATTTCACATACACTTGTCAGCTTTTATGTCTTCTTCAACATGCTCACAGGTTCCAATCATTTCACCTGCCTCACTGCAATAATGACAATATTCTGTACTGCTATTGCTGCTTCCACTGCTAGCAGGCTTTGGTGCTGAACTGGTTTGGTCATTCTGGGTTTGGTCATTCTTTGCACTTGGCAAAACTCTGATTGTCACTGCAGTAAGCACCTGCATGGACTTGACTAAACTTTTGATTAGAAGTGAGATGTCTTCTGTCTTTATGGTGGTCCCTGATGTTGACTGTGACATGCTGCTACTGACTACTGCAGAAGATGGGGACATTCCATGTAGAACAAACTTTGCAGCCTTCTTAGATGTCATTGACATCATATGAATCATGCAGGTAATGATCCAGTGATATGCTCAACTGTGTCCTGGCTGTGAGCAGTGCTCCTAATCAAACCCCTACTGGTGGAAGGCAAACCGGAGACTCTGTTCATCCGTGATCCCTTTGAGCTACAATCACAGGAAACTTCAAATGATAATGCAGCAATGGGCAGCCACAAGTCGTTCAGCTGTGTTGCTTGAAACGGAGTCAGATTTGCTGAAACTCAGATCGATGAGTGTTGGACTTGACTATGTGGATGCCTCCGACTGGGAAACAGTCAAAAGTTGGAATGTGGGGGTGTGTGTGTGGAATGTGATTGGTGACTTCAGTACTCGTGAGCTGTGATGGCTGAAGGCCTGGGCTGTGGCATGAGGACTTGCTATATCTGAAAGTGCTGGTGAATCACTGACAACGAAGCCCTAATTGCCTCCAAACTGGCTCAATTTTACCACCAACGAAGCCCTAATTGTCTCTGAACTGGCTCAAATGCTGACGATGAAGCCGTAATTGCCTCCCAACTGGGTAAAGTGCCAACGATGAAGCGCTAATTGTCTAAAACTGGCTCAAGCACCAATGAAGAGCTTCTGGACATCTAGCTAGTACTTCCCAGTGCTACCGACTGGGTCTGGGTGCTAGTGAGGCTACGGGGTCTGATAGGGATGGAATCCTGGTTCGAGACTCTTGATAGGTGGCGTGGAATACGAGAATGCGATAACGTGACTTAGCTGTAAGAAACCCGAGTCGAGCTAGAGGCCACTACTGAGAGTGCTGCCCCTCTCGGTGTTGAGAGTCTTTGAAGATGTAGACTGTGATTGCAACTGGCATAGACGTAGTCAGGCACAATGTCCTAGTGCAGACAGAACAAAAACTGTGTGGTGCTGGGTGGGGAAAACTCTCTTATTGGTTTTAGATACATGGTACATTATATAGTGGATTGGAAATGAGCCAGCTAGTCGCTGAAATGTGTTTCTGATTGTAGAAGGTGTTTCTGATCTAGTGAAACATGTTGCATCACTCGCTCCTGCTCCCTCTCTGTACTTTGCAGTCAGGGAATGGGAAGCCCAGCCTTGTCAGGGTTTGTCAGTCTGCAGATCAGTGTTCTGCTTGGTTAGTGCACTTGCTCATTTCTGAGTTGCCTAACTCATCAGTTTCCGCTCTCACGCTGCATCTCATAATCGGCCAGGCTCTGCAACAGCCTGCTCATCATTTTCACACCTCATATTCTCCTTCTAATCTCTTTACGTGATCCTGCATTTCCAGGCAGTTGAAAAAGCCTCCTTCATTCGCTCTGGGCTGTTCCGGCTCTGACTTTGATATTTCCAGATTGCGGTGACTGGCTATCCGATAGTGCGATAGGCAGACGCTTCTTTGAGCATTTTCTGATTGCAGAATATCTTGATGCGTATCACCGGTTGCTTCAACTGCAGCCTTTGCAAAATATGATTTCATAGATCCAGTTGGAACCCATGTGTGAACACACAATTTAGCTCTGACTCCGAGATTCAATGTTTGCCGATAAGGAATGTGGTGATGACTAGGAATTTATGATGATATTCACTGAGTTCTGAAATGCTATGAACCTCAAGCCTGGCTCTTTCTCTGATGAGAATGTTCATATCATGGACCTCCCACTTGTGCCCTAGGTCTGCTCTAAAATATAACTTCTATATCATGAGTTTTGGGCACTCAAGTATTCTGAAAGACTTTCGACAAGATTGGCCACTTTGATTGTGAGGTACCGGCATACTCATTGCTTCTTTTCTGCTTTGTCCATGATATTGCATCATGTGAATAGGATCTCAAGATCATTGAAGAATCAGAGAAGTGTGCAGGGCTGTTCTGGATCAAATATGGGCACTGATCAATCACCTGACATTTTGAATTTGGCTGCAAGAAATTGCCGAGGACCTCAATGGTCTCCAAACATAGGCCACTGCTCAACTACTCATGGTGGGCTCCAGAAATGATGCATCCATGGATCCTCTGACTGTAGAATATACTACCACAAAATCAAAGCTTTGAAATGTGCTGAAAGGGGGGACAACTAAATGAGGCAATGCTGTGAGCAGTTCAGATCTTGGATCCTCTGACAGTTGAGTAGCGAGTTTCAGATTTTGGACAGAAGGTGGGTGTTTTGAGAACTTAGCTAACAGTAGTTCAGTAGGTTGATTCATCATCTGCTGTTTGTCAGGGGAGGTAGATACTCTTTTTGGACATGGTTTCTGACTCATGGAGATCAGCTTTTGATTAAGGACATAATTTTGATCACATTGTGATGGGGCAGCTCTGACCGAATTGTCGATCTTGATTGTATGAAGTCAGGTGCTTGGTAGATTCTGAGTAGCTGTGAAATTGAGACAGATTTGCCTGATATAGATTAATTTGACAGTTTTAGTGATGGAATTGATCAGCTATGGTCAGATGTGAGGAATCTGATTGCAACCTCATGGAGTGTTGTGGTGAAAAATGTGTGAAGGGTTGGATATGGGTGGGTATAAATCACTGTAGGAGCTCAGTTCCTGAAATGTAGAGGGAGTGATGTAGTGTGAGAATGAATTGTTGTTATTACTGGTCGGCAAGTCAGATGTGTACTGATGAGGTAATAGAATCCTTCAGATGGTCATTTCTAGGAACATTTGAGATGTGTGAGATAAGGACTTGTAGAAGGTGTTGAGATTCTGTGTTAAGTAGTAGAGGTAGATTCTGAGAGGCAAAAGACATAGGATTTGGGCTAGAGGTAGGCTAGGAGACTCGTTCTCCTCCTGCTACTTGTTACTCCCTTCTCTAGATACATTTCTGATTTTTATGCTACTCTGGCAGTCAGGGCTGAAGTCCTGCCAACCTGACTTGTCCAAGTCCCAAGCCAATTAATTTAGATGAAACCTGTATGGAATATTGATGTGCCTGTAAAAAGCTTCTCCTTCTGCTTTATTTCATTGTCTGAAACACATTGCAGACCCCATTCTGCTTCATTCCATTGCTTTAAACATGTTGCATACCCCCCTTTGTGCTTCCTAGAGCTGCTTTCCACAGTTTCTTGCTGCTCCACTGAATACTGCGCTATTATTTCAGCCTTTGTGAGTTAGGAGCCCCTCTTCTGGTGCTACTATTTTCACCTAACTCAGAATTTCCATGTGGTGATATGCACCAGATAACTCTGCACTCAGAAGCTCAACCAGAAGAGCAGCTGAGGACTGTGTGACTCAATAAAGCATATCTGACAAACAACATACTCCAGACACAACTGGGTGAGGGCCTCCAACTCTATGAAACTCACAGAAGCAATGAAGTATCAAAAAGGTCACCCATGAGGCTCAGAGATGAGCTATACCCATGAGCTAGCACCACCAATTATGAGAACAAAGAAGAAGAGGTGGAGCAAGACAAGTCTGACAAAATGGAAATGAGAGCATGCTCTAAGTGAGAGAAGCACAAGGCAGCAGGCCATTGGACCCTTGTGGGCCTGCACCTTCTGATTCTCTGACTGTGAGTGATGATAAGGAGGAGGTGGGGAACATTTAAGGGGCTGTCTCAGAGAATCGGAAGCATCTTCTACAACACTAGAAGATGTCGTACTACACCTATATAATACCTTGTGTAGATAGCATGAGAACAACAAGTTTCACATCTCAGATCTAAAGTTCTATACATATATTCATGATAGGGCAGCACACCCTATTCCATCTCACCAGCTTACATTTGCAATTCACATCTCATTGGCTCTCAACATTGCACAGGACAGCACTCTTTACAGTGGTCCATAGCTCAACTCAGGAAGCACCCAGCTAAGTCATGTTACTGTGTTTCACATCCACGCCATCAGTCATGAGCCCTAGCAACTCAGATTTCTGTCCCCATTGGACTTCGTAGCTCTAGCAAGCACCCAGTACAGGTCTGTAGTGCTGTAGAGTCACCTGTAAATGTCCCAGAGATCCAGGGAGTGCTCAGACCTTCTCCAGGAGTGCTGGGGAGTCACCTGTAGTGCCCAAGTTACCCAGTTTAGTCAGCCCAGTCCCATGTTGCTGCTTCACCCTCACAAGTCTTCAGACTCACTTGCCCAAGTCCTCACTGTTCAGTTTCTACCTACACCATTTCCATACTGCTCTTGGCTTGTCCAGAGTTGGGGGTGTTTCCCTAGTCTACATCACCACTCACCATTCTGTTTCAAGCACAATGCCAAATAACTTCCAGCCACCTCTCACTGCATTATCAGCTAAAGTTCCTGCAACTGTGGCCAAGAAGAAGGGAGATAGACAGTCCTGATCTGCCTTCCTTGAGAGGATAGAAGGTTGCTGATGGCCAGGATGCAGTTGAGCATATCAGTGGGTCATCCCATATTGAGGCACTTGTTCACATGGGCTCAGTTGCTGTCAGCTTCTGGCTGTGACTTCTCAACTTCAACTTTTCATGGCTCCATTTTCTCGAAGTGCCAGCACCTTATTGCCTTTTGTGGGAACTCCTTGTCAAGTCTCCATGGTTAGGCACCCTCACCACTCATCAACAGAATGGTGAGTGGTGAAATAGACTAAGGTGACATTTCTGACTCTGGACAAGCTGAGAGTAGTATGGAGTGGTGTGCATATGGGCAGGGCAGTGAGGGACTTCAGGTGAGCAAGTATTGAGACAATGTAGAGTTGGCAACTGGGCTTGTTCTTATCTGTAAGGAAACTCAGGCACTATATTAAACTCCCCAGCACTCCTGAAGAAGGTCTGGACACTCTCTGGATCTTCAGGGCATCTACAGGATACTCTCCAGTGCTACAAACTGGCTCTAGATGCTTGCTATAGCTACAGAGTCTGATGGGGATGGGAATCTGAATTACTAGGGCTCATGCTTTGTGGTGTGGGTGCAAAAATGTGATAACATGACTTAGCTGGGTGCTTTCTGAGTCATCTGAGGACCACTGTCAAGAGTGCTGTCCTGTGTGATGTTGAGGGCCAAATAGTCATAAAGTGTGAGCATAGACTAGTGGAATGGAATAGACCATGTCAT